CGGAGGCTGTGGGTTTGCCACAGCGTTTGGGGGGAGTGCCCCAAGGCAAGGGCAGCTCAGGGGTGAGGCTGAGCCAAGGGCTGCGACACACCAGGGGGTGTCGGGGACCCCTGCCTGGGCTCTGCAGCTCCAGGGCACCGCTGGGAGGCCTCGACTGGCACAGCCCAGCTCAGCTCCAGCACTGAATCCTCCCCGCTCAGCGGGGGCTCGGCGTGCCCCGCAGGAAAGCTGCTCAGCCTGAGGGCTGAAGCTCGAATAGAAGATGAAAGGAGGGCAGGAAGGAGGCCAGGAGATGCGCTGGGAGTTGGATGGATCCCCCCAGGAAGCCCCGTCCTCCCCTGGCTCCGTGAGCATCACACCCTCCCTCCAGAAAAGGGTCAGTAGCAGAAAATAGCCCAGGCCACGCTCTCCAGAGCTCCACCACGCCCAGCAGCTCCACCAAAGGAGGACGGAGCTGTTTCCCCCTGGCCCGGCTCGGTCACGGGGGTCTCCAGTGACTTCCCCCAGCCCCATCTCCCTCCCCCAATGCCACCTACAAGGTCCCATCCCGATGCCCCCTGAACAGAGCTCAGCACCCGTGCCAAGCCAGCCTCGGCCTCCGAGGAGCCACACACACCCCAGAACCCCAGAGAGGGACCCAGAGGGGGCACCACGTCCCCGCGGCACGCAGGGCGAGGAGCAGGGACCCTGAGGGTCCCACAGACAGCCGGGTGCTTTTATTTCTCAGCAGAGCCTCCAACCCCCTCCTCCCGAGCACACCCCCTGTTATCAGCCAGCATCTGCGGTTTGGGAGCCAGTCAGCAGTTTACAGAGCACTGAATCTCTGTGAAGCATCTGCCAAATCTCATCAATCTCTTTATTTTACGCTGGGGAGAGAAAATTACCAAGAGACTGGTTGGAAATGCTCCTGGTCTGGAAAAACCTTCCCTCTCCTAACGCTGGTGATGGGATCGGTAGGAACAGGCAGCACTGGGGGGATGCAGCACATCCTGCAGGGTTTTTTTTTGGGGGGGTGATCCCTGAGGAGACCCTCCCGGGAGCTGCAGCCAAGGGCTTCTCTCCCTACAGCTAGTCAATCACAGGCAGACAGAAAGTCCATTCCCCTCACAGGGGATGAGGGGACGTCCAGCCCCACGACCAGGGGGTTCCAGAGGGAAGGGAAAGCATCTCCCCTGCCCCCCACTGCCCGGCTGCGGGAGGAGCCGTCAGGGATCCTCAGTCCTTGGCTGTACCAATTCCACCAAACCCTCCCAGGGAGCTCTGCTGCCCTCACTGCCCCCTCCCCAGAGCGAAGGCAGCGGCTGCACAGGGCCAGGCTGTGGCTCTGAGCACAGCTTAGTCACAGTGAGGTGGGGGTTGGGCTCTGCTCCCCAAGGAACAAGTGAGAGGACAAGAGGAAACTGCCTCACGTTGCCCCAGGGGAGGTTTCAGTTGTCCCTGAGGAACAAGCTCTTGCCCTGGAGGGTTGCCCAGGGCTGTGCCAGGCTGCCGAGGGCAGTGGTGGAGTCCCCACCCCTGGAGGGGTTCCCAAGCCGTGGAGATGTGGGGTGAGGGACATGGGGCAGTGGGGACCTGGCAGTGCTGGGGGCAGGGGTGGACTCGAGCTGAAAGCTCTCTGCCAACTGAAATGTTTCCATGATCTTGTGATTCCAGTGCCCCCAGCCCTCCTGTCTCACCACCCACGGGCCCTGCAGACGCCTCAGCTGGGACCAGAGCCCACGAGGGGATGGCCCAGAGGAGAGTCACAGGACACCCTGAAGCATTTTCAGGTGTTTGGTTGGCAGTCCTGACCAGGAGGGTCACAGGGGCAGGTTTAGGAGGTGCTGCAGCACAAGTGTGCTGAGCCCTGCTGCTAAAGCAGCACTGCCAGCACCTGGCACGGGGAGCAGAGTTTGGTTTGGTGGGAAGGGACCTTCCAAGCTCCTCTCCTCCAACCCCTCTGCAGGGAGCAGGGACAGCCCCAGCTAGAGCAGGGTGCTCAGAGCCCTCAACCTCACCCAGAATGGTTCCAGGGATGAGGCAGCAACAACCTCTCTGGGCAACCTGGGCCAGGGGCTCACCACCCTCAGTGTCCAAAATTTCTCCCTTCTCTCTAGTCTAAATCTCCCTCTTTTAGTTTAAACCCATCACCCCTTGTCCTCATGCAACGGGTCCTCCTCAAAAGTCTGTTCCCAGCTTTCTTCTAAGCCCTGGCAGCCCCCAGCAGGTCTCCCCAGCTGGAGCCTTCTCCTCTCAGGCTGCGCCAGCCCAACTCTCCTGCTGGGCTCCCAGCAGAGGGGTTCCAGCCCTGGATCACTGTTGTGGTCAAAGACCCAGAAGGTCTTTATTCCACCACGGCAGGACAGCACTGCTGCCCTGCCACTGCACGACACCAGCCTGCACAGGATCCAGCCTTTGGTCCTCCTCAAAGCAGCACAGAGCCAAAGAGTGTGACCCCTCTGCAGCCATGCCCTGTGCTCCTCCTCTGGGGAGGGGAAGGGAGCCCAGCAGAGACCTCAGCATCATTCCAGCTCCTCCAAAGACTGGCAGAGTCCAGGAGAGATGGCCAAGCTGGGACCACGTGTTCCTACTGTCAGGAAAGAGGCCCTGAAGCACAAAGCCATGAAAAGCAGCAGCAGGAGGAGGGTATTTCACTGCGTGGGTTCCCTCTGAGGAGGAGCCAGTCCTGTGCTAAGAGGGACCCGAGGGGAGCAGCAGGACAGACAGCAGAGCGGCCAGCCCGGCTCAGAGGGCACAGACACTGTTTGTTTCCAGCCCAGTTACCTTGCTGCACATACTGTCTTTACTGCAGTTCTCGTTCTCCTTGTCTGTGGCTTCCTCCTCCACCTTCACGAGGGGAAAAAAAAAAATAAAAAGGGTATAAATAAAAAAAAAAGCAGAGATGGAGAGGGACGGGAGGAGCCCGGGCAGCTGGTGAACAACGGCTGGGAGAGCATCGGGAGGGGATCCAGGGTGCTCCGCGGACGTCGCACTCGGGGAGCTCTGGAAGGAGTTGGGGTTTGAAGAATGAGCCAGAAAACTTGGGCAGCTGCTACCTCCTGACCCCAACGGCAGAGAGGCTTTGCTTCCAAGAGGGACAGAGGTGTCACCCCCCAGGGGGGCACAAAGCCCAGCACCAAGCCCCTCGTGGCGCCGC